GAACCCATCCAGAAGACCTATACAATTTTTTTCTTTTTGATTTTTTTACCAGGATTACTGAGATGCATCAGGACATTTTCTGAACATAATTTGCGCATCTAATTTTGAACATTTTCATACAAATTGGTGACCCCGACATGATGTGAGCACGCAACCTTCTGAAACTATAATAAAGAAAAGCATTTGGAAAGCCAAAAACATAAAATAAACACTTGTAATTATTTGTAGTGACGTGAAGAATTCCTGTTTTCAAATAMTGCTGACAATTTTTTAAAGCAAAAATAAGGATTTAATAATTGTTTTTTTAGTCAAAAAAAGGAATTTAGCAATTTTATCCATAACCCCATACATTTTGAACATTTTCTAWCTGTATGATACATTTTAGGCAGCACTGCTTTCCTAGCATTTATAGTAATAGCCATATATCKTGGTTACACTCAGAGAGAAGCTGCCAGCTGTTGGAAAGGTGGCGTCTAAAAAGACAATACTACGACTCAAAAAAACTAGCATGGCTGTCACTAAAAGAGAATTTAAATATATATATTCTGGACTTTTGCTGAAAAAAAATGATGTCTTAAGGCAGACCTTGTAGAATATTAACTGCAGACCAGTGCTTTATGAGACAGTCATACACTTCATACTTCCTCTTCAAAAGAAGCTCAGTCGTCTACTTGTCATTCTGACCTGAGCTGCTCTGTTGGAAAGGTAGCAAAGCATGTTGAATACTAAAACTTCAAGCGAGGATCTTGAAGATATCTGACCAAAACGCAGGCTGCTTAGAATGACGGATGAACCCGGTGTTGAGTTCGAAAATGACAGACCAACAATAAACACAATTCATTTTTTAGTGTCATCACTGCTCACTTTAATTCAGTCACGTCTGAGCTGCTGGGATGAGAAATAGTTTCTGATTAATAAAAGTTTGACACTGTTGTTGCAAAGACTTTGCCCACTACTTCCAATCAAGTTGAGCTGAAGAGTTTTGAGGTAAATTAACCTTTTTGGATAATTTGGACACCGAATATTTTAAACATATTTCATACTTTTTTTAAATAGTGTGACTAAAGCTGCCTGGCAAATAAAAAGTATTGTTATGTATTGTTAAAATTAATTTTTAGTGACTGAATTCTACAAATAACTGAGCATTTTCTTTAAGGCTCCCAAATATTTTACAGCTTAGAAAGACTTTTTTTAGGCTTTAATACAATTTGTCAGGAGAAAATTTGCTAACAAACACACACAGACGCAGGCAATAACAGCAAAGCCAACATTTCTAAGCTTAAAAACACACCCAGGTCTCAATTATTACCTAAAACATTAGTCCATAATTTTGTATGAATTACTGCAGTTCAAAAGAACTGATTTTCTATAAAGTGATTAGCGATTACATACAGGTGCTGGTCATAAAATTAGAATATCATGAAAAAGTAGATTTATTTCAGTAATTCCATTTAAAAAGTGAAACTTGTATATTATATTCATAC